AAAAAACACTGACCCAAACATCTGAACAGAAGTGTATTTCTGAATTGTATTTTTAAAGTTTTTTTATTTATTTTATATTTAATATTTCATAGATCTTGACCAAAATGAACATTATTCCATTGAGCTGGGTACTTAAATATAGCATTGTTAAAACTACACTCTTAAAAATAAAGGTGCTTCAAAAGGTTCTTCACAGCGATGCCATAGAAGAACCATTTTTGGTTCCACAAAGAACCATTCAGTCAAAGGTTCTTTAAAGAACCATCTCTTTCTTACCTTTTTGTAATCTGAAGAACCTTCTTTCGCCACAAAGAACCTTTTGTGAAACAGAAAGGTTCTTCAGATGTTAAAGGTTCTTTATGGAACCATTTAGACAAAAAGGTTCTTCTATGGCATCGTGAAGCACCTTTATTTTTAAGAGTGTACAATAAAAACAAAACCACCTCGTGTGGAATCAAACAACATGAATCATTCATCAGAGACCTCCTTTCATTCTCTCGGTCTAATAAGTGAACCTGGTGGGCCGAAGCTTTGTCTTCAAGCTGCGGCTGAGTTAAGCAGTCCGGTGATGGGCCTGGACACACAGAACACTCTGGATTTGCTAAAGAAGCATTACGCTTCAAGAACTAATGACCCATACGGAGTAATCACCTCAACAAACACCCCATCAGCAGAGAGAGAGAACAGAGATGAGCCGTGCACCTGAAGCCCAGATCTACATGACTGTGCGGATATAAACACTGGAAGGAGCAAATACAACAAGAACACAATAAAATACACAAGCACTGACACATGTTTGTGTGCTTGCACTCAGACGCACCCTCCAGTGCTCATTTGCAACAGTTAGTCCAAACTAAGCGGCGTCGCTGCATTCTTTGGGAAGGCGGATTCTTATGCCAGCTTATTCTCCATTTTTAGCTTCTTAAAACCGCACGGGAGAGTTCCCATCATGGCTCTTAAGCAGATTTACTTTCATAAAAAGCAGCTCAGAGGAGGAGCCTGTAACTGAGAATGTGCTTGACTTCACACGCGTATTGTGACATATCATCTTTGTATTTGTATTGTGGAGCTGAATGTACAGTGAGTCACCGTAGGTGTGCTTGCATAACACAGTAAGTTCTTTAATTACAAGAATTAACTTTTATTATTGTGTCTTTCTGTTTTCGTATGTGGGAATCATGTTCATGCCCAGCAAATCAAAGTGAGTGATTCTGCAAAACTGAACAAATCTTGTGCTCCTCAAATACATATGTGACTCGCACCAAATTGAGTGTCAATGCAGACTTTTTGTTTTTATAAACAAATCAATGAAAATCTACTCACTGTTTTTTTTTACTTTCTAAGAGAGGCGTGTTGTATTTTCATGAACTTTACCACACGACTTTACATTTAAACGTAAACTGTAAACCCTGTTACCATAATGTATAGTAAACATTTAATTCACTTTCTAATAATTTTATAACGTAAAATTAACCTTTCAGCCATGTTGTGTTTATAGTTATAACCCAACATATTAAAGTGCAATTAACTTGAGTTGCCATAAAGCTAATTATTAACTCTTCAGTTTTCTGACAGTTTTTATTATATAGTAGTAGTAGTAGTAGTAGTAATAGCATTCAAACTGAGCTTAAAAATCACATATCAAACCGAAAAAAGTCATAACTTTGTGTACCTGTGTGTGTGTGTGTGTGTGTGTGTGTGTGTGTGTGAGTGGCCCTCGGGCCGTCTCTCAGTGGGAGGTTTGGGGATCACTCTGTTCTGAGAGGGGATTTCATCAGCGACGAGGGTAAAGCCTTCACTAACAGACCTATTATCCCTACAACAAGCCCTACCTTCCTACTCCATACTCTCTCACATGCACACACTGCCCCACACAGCAGTAACCAGCAATTACGACAACACCATGTCATTAGAGGCTTATTCAGACTCCTATTATCACACCCTCACAGACAGGGAGCATTAAAGTCGACTACGAAAAACAAACAAATAAAACCACGAATAGTGCTGCATAAGAGCCCGTCTGTGTTCAGCCATGGAAAAGAATTCTCTTTTTTTAGCATTTTAGCAATCAAATCAGCATGAAGCATGACTTCATAAGTCTTAATAAAATGACTAAAATGCTTTCAATTATTGTATATTATTAAGGATTTCTTTTTTTCTTCTTTATTTTGGAGAAAATTGAAATGGCTCTGAGACTATTAGACTCATATTGGTGGTTGAAAGCATAATCAAATTAGCCAAAATATTTATTAAGCAAACATGCAAATGCAATGCAAATATGCATGAGATGTTATAAATGTTATAAATGATAAGCAATGATATAGAAATATGTAGATCTTTCCAGAGAATCCTGCAGGTGCAGATTCTGCATGGGCTGCTGAAGCTTGGTTAAGTGTTTGGATGGGAGTGAACGTTGCTGTCTGGCTCCTTCATTGACGGTTACGCCCTAGTTGTTCTTTTGTGATCTGTGGTGATGGGGGGGCTACCAGTGACACATGAACTGACAGTCTGGGAAAGCAAATTGCCCAAATATCAATGGACCATGACAAGTGAACAAAAACTCACTTTTATTAGGAGCTACGGCTATTGACCATCATCCAAAAAAAAGAAGAAGAAAACAAACATGCCTCCTTCAATGTAAGTTTGTGGGAATTTTTTCCCCAAAAAAACTCATAAATCAGATGGGTTAGAAAAGTAATAGCACTCCTCTCCTCAACAAGCTTTTTGGGCAACGCTCCAACATGTACACTGAAAAAAATTACTTTGAAGCAATTTTCACTCAGAAATTGCTAGTAATTTTCATAAATATTTACAAAGAAACAGCAAGGAACACATTTAAACTCAGTAGATTGACTGAAATAGTATTTTCTTGTAAAAGGTACTCCAGTGATCTTTGTTTTATATATAACTTTGAAAAAAAATTTTTTTTACGGTGTAGCGACTCATTTAGGGCAACCTAAATTCGAGTCCAAACTTTTTGTCCTTTCCTGATTCCATCCCCTTCTCTTTTCCAATTTGCTTTCTGTCAATTCCCGTCATATGATGCAATTTCAAATTTTCCTCTCTCTTTGGAGTGTTACAAGCTGTTCGTGAATAGATAAGATCCATAAAGTTGCAAAGACTAAAGTCTCAAATCCAAATAGATATTCTCTATAAAAGTTAAGAGTCAACCACGCCCCCCTAAAACGGCTCCCCACATATCTACGTCACGATGTGGGAAGATTTGCATAACACCGCCCAAATGTTCACGCAAAGAAAGAAGGCGTAACTTTTATTCTCGCTGTAGTATTGTTGCTGCCGCCGCCATGTTGTGAAGACGCTGTGTGTTTCGTTGTGAAAGCGAAACTACTTTGTTTGGTCTTCCAAAAGAGGACACGACTAGAAATCAGTGGTTAAGTTGTATTTACAACACTGTTCCAGAACACTTCAACCCAAATATTCAGAAGTGTGCAGCACATTTTATGGAGGACTGTTTCCTGAATCTGCAGAGTAGCCTACAATGTGTCTGTGGCACAGAGGCTGTTTCTATAAAGTGGGGCTGTTTCCAACTTTGCAAGGACAGTCTGGCGCTTCTGACTCTCAGACTGTAAGTATGTTTTTTATATTTAAAGGATTTGCCACTGATGATTCGAACGCGAGTTTTGAGCAGTGTAGAGTAGCGCTTGTTGTTTGTCATTTCTCCGATCACAAATGCAGACATGGTTTTATGTTTATGCGGCACGATGCAACGCAACGTGTAAAAAGACAGCATAAGTCATTATAATCCGTAATTACTGTATGTCCCCACTGGATGCAACAAATGGCTCGTTTATAATGGGTTTTATTGTTTTTATCTCATCGCGCCAGGACACTGCATCACAATATGGTAAGGGGCGTAACATTTCCATCGCACGCTTGAGGTATTCGGCCAATCACAACGCACTGGATAGCTGGCCAATCACAGCACACCTCGCTTTCCAGACCGATGAGCTTTGTAAAAATCAACGCGTTTCAGAAAGGCGGGGCATAGAGGAGAAACAATAATGTACAGTATATATACACTGAAAAAAAATATATGCAATGCCACGAATTAAGAATTCTGTCCCACAACATGTTTATTCGTGGCCACGATTTGCTAATTTGTTCACTCGTTTTAGTTAAACCAACAGTGTCAGGAGGGAATAAATTAGTACAACATGGCCAAGATTTAAAACAACAAGGGAACATATTTGTAAATTGTGTTATATATTACAATATATAATTTTTTACCCTGCGTGTCATGTGTGGGGCTCCGTAGTTTTCTCTGGCATCACAAAATTAAAAAATAAGTTTCATTTGTATTACATTTTGTTTTAATTTATATATTTTTTATATCATTTAATTTTTCTCTGCGTGCTATCAAAAGGTGTAGTCACATTATCATCCATTATGTATTGCCAATAATGTGAGTCACTTTCAAAGTGCATATTTCTGAACTCTTCAACTTGAACCTGTTGCGAAATCTACTTGGTTAAATGTTTCACCTTTAGAAAAAATTCCCAAAATTGTGGATTCCGATTGAAATGATGGGATTTTGCCCGCAAACGTTTGCCGGAAAAGGTAAACATGTATGCACCCTAACAAAACTTTAATTTTGCACAAAACATATTAACAAAAAATGTATTTTGCATAAAGAAAAGCGTGAGATGTGAGTGATTAATTTTACACTTGTTAACTAAAACTTCTTTAGTACGTAATGCCCTATATTTACTGAAATACAGCACGACAAAAAAAAACATTGCAAAAGCATACCATTCAATTTTGTTGTTGCCGCCATGGGTCGCACTGACACGCCCCTTACAAAGCCACAACTCTACAACTTGGGTATAATCTACACTTATGAAATTCCCACTTGTAAATCAACTTTACTTGATTATTCAAGTGTTCTGAACTCATAATTAGCACTTGCATATTTCCGACTCCACATCCAAAGTATCGATATATCGCGAGTATCGAAAGTATCGATACTCAAACCTCGCGAGACGCTCGAGAACATGCCACAGCTTAACGGAGGTGGAGGGGATGAGTTGGGGGCCAACGATGAATTGATCTCATTCAAAGATGAGGGCGAACAAGAGGAGAAAATCTCCGAAAACGTGTCTGCCGAAAGAGATCTGGACGACGTGAAGTCTTCTCTAGTGAACGAGTCGGAAAATAACAGCAGTTCATCCGATTCTGAGGTAAGTCAGACACCACCGCGTGTTGACAGACGCATGGATGTGGTCGTTGCCGTCGGAAAAAATAACTTTTTCGCTTTGTTTTTCTCCGTTCCTCACTCTTTCCTTCAGCAAACCGAGAGGCGCCCTCAACCAAGAGCTGATCTTGAAAGTTATGAGAAAGCCCGAGAGTATTTCACTGAAGGTACGAGCAAGCTTCTGCTATGGCACGCCGATTTAGCAATTATTCATGAAAAACTAGTTTCTGTTTTTGTTACTAGTAGTATCTTTTTCAATGTCACTCATAGCTATTCATTATATAACAGTGCTTTTTAAAAAATAGTGTAACTGCTCTAATAGTTAAGTATCTATTTCAGTAACCTACTTCTAGTTACTATGTATTATTGTGTATAACAATAGTAAAAAAATGTATGCGTTTTCTAATGTAATGTATATTCGTTTTATTTAAACTATGAGGTAATAAAGCAAATAAAGCAACTGAAATTTGTGAGATAACAGTTGTTAAAATGTGATAGATATTAATGTAATAAAAAAATAGGTATTAATATCTAATAAGTTCTGGAATAGATGCTATTATTTAGATTAAAAAAAAATCTACTATGTCATTTACACTTACTAGCAAAACTAAACTTGGTAGCAGAAACCATTAGAATATATATATATATATATATATATATATACTAGTAGGAAGTGAACAGATGATATCTGAACCACAAGTTTACATAGAATTATAGAATAGACATTTTCAAAAGGAAAATTGTGCAGTTTGTTGCCGGTAGCAATTCAGAAAAGTTACTTGCTATTAATGGGTACTAGTGTTTAATGAATAGTTACTAGTGATATTAAAAAAATATATATATATTTTTTACTAACCAATAGTGGATTACAAACAAATATATATAAAAAATACTAGAAACGTATCAGTACAAGTAAAAATATCAGTAATATGAATAAACGTTGAAACAGCTTGCCATACGTGTTCTTTACTTAACTTTTGTGTCCACACATTGATCCCTAATCATTTGTCTCTCCACTGTCAAGCTTTGAGAAGACAGCAAGATGGAGGGTTTTTTAAGAGCCCCCATTATCCAGGCTACCCGTTTCTAATGATCCCAGATCTGACCAATCCTTACTTGTCCAGCGGCGCCTTGTCTCCAAGCGCAAGAACGGTGAGTGCCATTGAACACACTGTGTGCCTCGGTACATCTCTGGAGTTTTTAAGAGGCAGCGAGAAACATCATGTGAGAGTTTATAATGGCCCTCGTACGGAATGAAACCAACATGTTTCCTTATAAAGATTCCATTTGAAAATCCGCACTTATCAACCACTATTTTGAATATTGTAAGGTCGTGTCGCCTTCAGTATCTGCAGTCATGATCATTCAGCTAGATGAGAGCATTAAAAAAGAGCATAAAAAAAGAGTTTTAGTGCTTAAGATTTAGCAGTTCACCACCAGTCAGTTTTTGTAATTTGAAGTTATTTAAGGAATATGCATGTGGAAGTGGATTGCTGATGTCATTTTAGCATTAGTTCATGTTTGAGGCTATTAAACTGTTTAATTGGTTTTAATTGTGTACTTCAGCTGTTTGTCTTGTATTTGACAGATTTCTATTCATTTATTTGTTGCGTAGGAGATCATGTCTAGTTATCGCCACCATTTACTGGATCAGATTTGCCAAAATCTTGCATCTGAAGTACTTTATGGTGTTTTGGCCCCACACTTCGGGGTCTAAATACGCTGAAGATTCCTCATGTTTGTCTGTGAAATGGTTGGCTAATTGATCTAATACCTAGTGAATGTAATTCGGTGCTGTCTGCCACTGGGCTGTAATTAAGCAGTTTCAGGCTGCTTGTTTAGCCTTCTTTAAAATAAGATTAGTCTGGCCGAGCGAAGAGGTCTGTCACAGTGAAATTCTCTCTGGGTGTCCGAGGGCTGCAGAGTTTGCCTGTTCTCTCCCTATAGATGTGTTTGAGTTTTGTGTCCGTGTCTGGGAAATGTTGACTGCCCTTTTAGCCCCAGCATTGGGTCTTTTCAACCCAATTTGCAAAGAACTCAGCAGGCATTCATGTATGGCTTTGCCGCGGTGTTATGCGTCAGCGCTCTGCAGAAAAAGAGAATGAACGGTTGGGTCTTTGAAAGCCTCAACCGGGAGTGTTTTTTGGCTAAACCGTGAGCCATCTCCCCAAATCAACACGTTTTACAGCCATTGTTTATTCCCGAGCTCAAATCCTCCTTCTTTACACTGAATCGCAATGTGATTTGATTGGACCCGGCCAAGCGTTTGAGCGAAAAGTTGCGTTTTCTCCCCCCGCCTCCTCCCTCTAGACACTCGCGCAAGTTTTACTTGGCCTCTCCGTTTCTTTTCACTCGTCCGTACGAGTGCTCCCTCCTTCCAATCTCTTCCATTTAGTTCCTGAGGCGTTAGTCTTACATTGTCATTCTGAGTGAATGCTGATGGCTTCATTGGGATCTCCATAGGCCCTCATTAGCCTAATGGCTGCTTCTTAGTTGCATAGTAGTTGTGGTACCCAGATCCTCTTTTGTTCCTCATTGTTCCTCAACACTATAGAGTGTTGTTGTGTGACGAGCCTATCGCTTAAATTATCCTGAAGGAACATCCCACCCTTAAAATCGCCTCGGGCTGTACCTGCAATGAGCAAACTTTCCTTAACGATTTTTCGCAAAAATCATTCCATCACAGACTCAAATAGTGAATTAATCCAATGTCAGGCACATCTCACGAGCACAGAAGCCCTCTGTTAACTCTAGCATAATGCGCATTAAGGAGCCAAAGGCTAATATGGGCTTACTAGCAAATATTCAGATGGTGGCATTCAGGATAAGGATTAGAAGTCATTTTAATTCGTTTAGCTGATTGGGGACCGTCAAAAGATTTGGTGACAAAAGAAAATGACCCCATAACCCAATGCATCCAGATGTGAGACAAATATCCACGCAAGACTCATCCTGTTTTGAAAAAGAGGCATCTAACTCTTATTATTCCTCACAGTATTCAAATCGCAGGAGTTCATAACCTCCAGACCCCGAGCAGATTGGCGCTCGTGTTTTATCTGAAAGTTCTAGAAATCAGATCATCCCAGAGTAAGAGATATCTCCGACTGAAAAGCAGATCAGGTCTAGCCCCGGACCGAGTCAAATGGGAGGTCATTGAGGCAGATGAGCTTAGCCTGTCAATCAGCACCTCTAGAGCGAGCCGAGCGTCAGACAATGAGTGGTTGGCATACTTCAGATGTTTACACACTAATCTTAAGCTCTCGCTCAGACAGCCTCAGTCACAGCTGACAAAATCACATAAGGAAGTTTCCAAACAAAGCGGAGGAACCCGTCAGAATCTGAATGATCTTCTGTGTTACGCTCAAACAAATGCACAAATGTAGAGTATGTTTGCCAGGGAAAAGCATGAGTCTGTGCTGTATCCTCTTTTTTTATTATTAGGATTATTATTTGAGTAATTTGACAATGTCATTCTAAAAGGTATTCAACCGGTTCAATATGTTTTGTAAAGTAGAGAATCTGAGGAATATAAAAGACTTCAGAGAATGTTCTTTGTCAGAATGAAAGCCATTAAACTTCTACCATGGGATGAAAAATTGAGTCAGAAGAAAAGGTCCCCCCCCCCCCCCCAGAAAATGGGATAAAAAAAAAAGCCCCCCCCCCCCCCATGGCAATTTTTCTTTTCTTATACAGAAAAAAAAATTTAAGTCAGACGTATTTTGGTCTCTTGCTTTTATATGGTGCACTACATATTTGTACCACTGAAAATGCAATGAAATCATTCTCAGGTTCGCTGCATAGATTAGTTTTATATTTATTTTCTTAGCAGACGCTTTTCTAACCAAACCGTCTGTTTGGTTACTACCATAAAGCGCACAAATCATATTACAGGAATCTGAGAATACACAATGCTTGCTAAGGCAGGCCTTGAATGCCAAAGTAAAGCCTGAAGCAGTCGCAAATAGAGTAAACTTGTAATCATGTCGCTTCTAAACTAATATGTACGTTTCTTGTGCTGTTGCTCTGATATCCCTGAGGTGGAATTGAAAAGCTCCTCTGAATTCATAGATTTCATGTAATATTTATAGTTGTAGGAAGGAAAGGTTTGCCAAAGGGAATGTGGAGTTTTGAATACCTGTGGCTTTAGTTAAGAAGTGCAAACAAAGACCGTTGCTTAATCCTTAGAATTTCTTAACATTCTTTAGTGACAGTAACACGCATATAGGCATGCACACGTGACATTGTGATTAATGAGGTTATTGTTGTTGGGTGCTGTTGTTGTTGTAATATATTTAGTGTATGATGTGCTTTGGGATGGAAACTGTCGCAATGATCAACTAGTCTTTTAGATGGATTCCCTTGCTTTCTATTTATTTCTATTTAAAAGCTAAATATTAAAAAGTTTTAATAACCTAAAAAATATTGATTAATGTTTAATAATCTATAAACTTTAACAACAAGCTCACAATTCCATTCAGAATGTGTTTCCACCAGCTGTTTTTGAGCATAAGAACATTTCTTATGTAAACACGGTAACTGACTAGTCAGTTTTGAAATGTGTAATTTTGCACGTCGCTCCTTTGGGGCATTTAAATATCAGTCTGAATGCTGTTGCATCTGTAGGTGGGTAGTGTGTGTGTGTGTGTGTATGTGTATGAGTATGAGACCTACACTTTAATTCAGATAACTAACCTTGAATGCAATTGTGAATGCTTAAGGCCTTCATCACGTATTAATGAAATAAATCCGTCAAAAGAAAGAAAAAAAATTCCACCCCCACCAAAAACAAATTTTCTTTAAGTGTTTTGAGGCCTGATAGTCAGATCCACAAGATTAGCCATTGAGCAGTTCAGACCTCAAACTTCTTTTTTGACATTTTACATTTCTATTCATGTAGCGGTGAGGGCAACAGTCCAGATAACTTTGGAAAAGCATTGTGAAAAAGACGGCATTAGTAAAAAAGGAAAAGCAAACAGTGAAAAAGAGCTGAGAAGAGGACATAAATAAGTGGAAGATAGAAAGAAACCGAGGTATGAAGTGACAGAAGGGAAAGATGTGGGGAAACACAGGCGTGCAGATTTCTCATAATTGATTTAGGGCCTGCTCCGAGCTGACATTCCTCAATAATCCAGTGGGACTGTTTTTAAGGATCGAGTGTGGCGGCCAACCAGCTCTGCTCTTCTCAATGCTTGTCACTGAGATGAATGCTCAAGCCTGGCTCGAGGAATCGTCTGCTAGGGGTGTTGGAAATGGATATGTTGAGTATATGCACAATGCTTTTGTTGGCGAAGTAAAATTTAGCCACATTGTGAAAATTAAGTACACTTATATGTGGCTTCCTAAAAATGTGAGGCGTTAGAAAAGTGTCAAAATCCTTCCTAATTTTAAAAATTGCAAGTATGAGACAGATTGTAAAGATATGAGAACTTTGGTGCTTATTTGAGCAAAATGTGTTTAAATAACATTTATCTACGTTGTGAATCTTATGATTATTTAAATGCACTTTCATGTGTCCATTACAGTTTCTAGTGTGGCATTAGAAAAGTGTCAATCCTTCTTTAGTTGCAAATATGTGACCCTGAACCACAAAACCAGTCATAAGTAGCACGGGTATATTTGTAGCAATAGCCAAAAATACATTGTATGGTTCAAAATTATCGATTTTTTTAAATTCCAAAAATCATTAGGATATTAAGTAAAGATCATGTATGCATATATTTTGTACATTTCCTACCGTAAATATATCAAAACGTAATTTTTGATTAGTAATATCATGCATTGCTAAGAACTTCATTTGGACAACTTTAAAGACGATTTTCTCAATATTTAGATTTTTTTTGCACCCTCAGATTCCAGATTTTCAAATAGTTGTTTCTCAGCCAAATATTGTCCTGTCCTAACAAACCATACATCAATGTATTCAGCTTTCAGATAATGTATAAATCTCAATTTCAGAAAATTGACCCATATGACTAGTTTTGTGGTCCAGGGTCACGTATGAGATTCTGAACGCATAAGATGGATCATATTGAACTTTGGTGCTCAATTGGGCAAAATGAGTTCAAATCCAGCTCGCAACACATCAAAAAGCCAAAAACAAAGTTCTGTCAGTATAGACAGTCAAAGATAATCAAAGATAAACAGTCATTGTC